CTCTTGGGTTTGTACGGCACAAATTGGGATTTTAACTCCAATTGTGGGCTTATATGGGCTGAGAATATCCCATATAAAATATCCAAAATTCCAAAGCTTCTGGGCTTCTTCAGGGCTTGTCTTCAATCTTTCGCAATTAAAGCTCCAATCTTCAATTCTTGCTCCTTGAAATAATTCTTCAATAAGTCTTCAAACACGGACTTTGAATCTTCAAATCTATACTCAAAATTACTTTGCTCATATCTGTGTAAAAAGTCATCAAAATAGCTCCAAAAGTAGTGAAAATAAGCAAATTTCCAATTTCACATCTTATCTTATAAAGACTAAAAACACAAATATTAACAAAATAAGATAAATTAGAGCATAAATAGACCCAAAAACATAGCAAAATAGCCATAAAAATAGGGTTGTTTTTTGCTCGATCATATATTATGGATTTAACCATGGTTAGTTACCTAAAGGCTCCATCTCTAGGTATTAGGTTACTTAACATTAATTCCAAACTTTATCAAATTCATTTAAGGATTTACTTAAATCTTAAAAGAATTATGAAAGTTTCCCAAAGGGTATATTAACTAAAGGTTTTAATCACTTAATTAAACCCAAAGTTTTAGGTAACCTTGATTCCAAATTCAATTAAGCATTCACTTAAATCTTAATGAATTATTATGAAATCCCAAATTTTATTAACTATAGGTTATAATCACTTAATTAAACCTAAAGGTCACTTAACCTTGATTTCCAAATTCGATTAAGGATTCACTTAAATCTTAATGAATTATGAAACTTACTAAAAGCTTTTAAACCAAAGGTTTTAATTACTTAATTAAACCTAAAGCTTAATGGTCACTTAACCTTAATTTCCAAATTCGATTAAGGATTCACTTAAATCTTAATGAATTATGAAATCCCAAAGCTTTTAAACAAAAGGTTTTAATTACTTAATTAAACCTAAAGTTTAAGGTCACTAAACCTTAGTTCCAAATTCGATTAAGGATTCACTTAAATCTTAATGAATAATGGAAATTACCAAAAAGATTAATTCTTTTCTTAAGAGTTTAAAGATTTAAACTTTACCTAATCTTGAATCAGATTAATATAATCTTTGCAAATTTTAGTTAAAGTTGTCAACTTTGAACCAAGATCTCAACTTTGAATCATGTTATCACTAAAACTTGTAACTTTGAATCAAAGACCTAACCTTTGTACTAAAGATTTTAATTTTCAAATTAACTTTACCTAAAAATCCAAACTTTGGATAAAGAATCAATTTTCAAGTTAACTTTAACTCAAAAATCTAAACTTTAATACCAAAAGGCTATCTTTTTCATTAACGAGCTAATTTTATGTTAACCTTAACCTAAAACTTCAAGCTTTGTTCATTTTAACTTAAAGAGAGATCCACTTTAGTGAAATCCCAACTTTGAAATTTACAAGTTAAAATATTTTTTAGTTAATTATTCCATGAAATCAGTTGTAAACTAATAAAGCCAATTTATTAAAACTTCAAACTTTGAAAATTAATAAATTAAAGACTTTTATCCAATTAAAGTTTAAATCTTTTATGAACTTAGTTGATAAAGGTTTAAAAGTTTAGATCCAACCTATTCATGGAAAGAATTAGATGAAAGAGGCATCAAATTCCACAAAGCAACAACCCACAGTCCTAAATCAACATGAAAATCAAACTGAAAAGGGCTATATTGAATAGGTTAAGAGAAGCCACACAAAAGCTTCGATTTTTCCTTGAGATCTTGCTCAAAACGACGTCGTTTAGGCTAAATTTGTACGAGGCTCTATAAGCTTTTTTTCCTCCCCTCACTTCAAATGCTTTCTTCTTCCTTGAATCTCTATCGTCGGTGCCGCCGCCGACGGAGATCAGCTTCGTCGCGTCGGACCAACAAACCACCGTGGAAAGCCCGTGAATTTTCCAGAAATACTGCCCATCCTTTCCTCTTTCTGAATCCAAGCTTGGTTTTCTTAAACATTTGATCAAAGCCCCTCAAACTCACTCGAACCTGAAGCTACAAAAGTCTATAGATCTTTTAAACTACCTGATGGATTCCTCTCAAATTCGGGTATGTTATTCTCCTCATCATTCTAAAGATCTCTATGGTTTCAATTTTTGAATACTTGCTTAAATGTGAGAAAGCCCCATTTTTAATGAAGAACCCTAATTTCTGCAACAATGGATTTCTTGCCTAGTTTCTCTCACTCCCCCTCTCATGAGGGCGAAAATGAGGTATTTAAAGGGTCTTTTGAACACTCGAAATCCTACTTGCTCCCTCGACTGTCAAAATTCTTTTTCTTATCTTTTCCCATTTTTTTATCCAAGGTTATTTCCTTAATCCTTGTTTTTCTTGGTGCTTTGAGATAAGGGTGGAGAAGAATCGATGTGAGTTGGCCTGATGAGTCATCTTCTTCAAGTATATCTTCTTCATTCTTTTCAAATTCGCTTGACTGCTTTGTCTTTTTCTGCTTCTTCTCACATGGGAATTTCTTTGCAGGCGAAATTTCATTGTTGAGCTGTATTTAGAGGTGTCACCGAACTCCTATTAATTCGGGAAGGGTTCAACGATCCTGTCTTTGTCCTTTTTTCATTGATGCTGAGTCATCAGGTGAATCTCTACTTCCTTTTCTCTTTTTTCTGTTTAATTTCCTCTTTACCTTATTTACTAACATTTTCCTTCTTTTTTCTTTTGCAGATAATTTCCACATTGCTGACTTGGCTAGTTAATCAATGGAAAGGCCATTTACAAACTAATGTAAACCTCCACTTCATGGGTGTCACTGATTAATTAGCTTACTTTCTTGGCCTGCCATATGATTTAGATACCTTCTGTTGCATGTCCTTTGAATATCTGAATGCCACTCATCTTGAGTACTTTGCACCTCAGTTGTCTTATGGCTTTGTTGGAGTCTTAAGATCTAAGCTTTGATCTCATTTCTCGGATCCAGGCAATGGCCTCTAGTGGTTCCTCCAGGTCCTGACATTGACATTGCTTCCATGCTCATTATTTGATGTTTTGTCTTGTTGGTTGTTTTGGTGTTGACTTCCATTCGATGATCAATGTTGTGCATTGTTTTTGCTTTCCTCGTTCATATGCTATTGTTAGCTTTATTTGCATCAATTCAGGCCTTGCACCAATCAATGTTGTTTAGCCCCAAGCTTGGAGGGCACATCTTGTTAGTGTATTTGCATCTTCTCACTTTTTAGGTCATGATAGGCCCTCGAGAGATCTAAGAGCCACTACTAGAAAACACCTAGATAGGGGCGTTTTTTTTGCATATAGGGGCGTTTCAAAACGTCACAATTTGAAATCGCGTCAGAAGCGACGTTATCACAATTGTTGAGGATTTTGGTGGCGTTGTAATGGAAAACGCCACTATTTAATATAGTGGCGTTTCTATGAAAAATGCCCCTATGTAGCGGCGTTTCTATACCATAAACGCTGGGGAATAATTTTCAAAACAAAATTTTGAATTATATAGGGGCGTTTATGTTCTAAAATAGGGCGTTTCGATGAAAAAACGCCGCTATTTAGACGCATTTTGTTCAAAGAAACACTACTAAATTGTGGCGTTTCAATCGAAAAACGCCCCTATTTAATATAGTTCTTTAAAAAAAAATTATCAATTCATAGATATAATATAAAAAAATTATATTTATTATTTTAATAGTACTTTACATCCACCTAAAAATGATATAATTCACTCAATTATAAATAAAAAGACAAAAGATATCACCAGCTCATGCTTATTACCATCTCCACTCCCATGCTTCTGCCGTTTGTTAGAGACGTCATATCTCCAGTATTGTGAATCAGGAAGACTATCACCAGCCCTCTTCGTGGATTCTTTAGGATGATCTGCTTGGTCTGCTAATGTGTATGGCGATAAGGTAGTATTTGGTGGCTTTGCACTGATCTCAGCAGCTGACATGGCAGATGATGGAGTTGGTGAGAGCATGAAGAAATTTCTGCGGAAAAGATGCAGGAAAGAGTCAAAGAATGCTAAAAGGCTAAATGTAGTAGTTGTGGGAGGTTCAAAAATTAAACACAATAAATATTTCAGAACATGGATATTATATTAACTCAAAATCTTAAGATGAAGATATTTTGATTATGCAGAAATTCCTCCAGAAATGACAATCTCATCTTCGGAGGCCATCCAGTCACAATATATAGCAATTTAAATGTCCCTGGCTATATAGATACTGATATAATGATATTCTGGAAATTGCATCATGCCAATGTAGGTTGCATCTTCATGATTAACAGAGCTTTAAAGCTAAAAGTCTTATCTGACCACAATCAATACTTCAATATACAATGAGAAGAAATAAATGTGTTCATAGGAGATGGTCATACCTGTTTATCTTTGTTCCCAACAGAAGCAAGACCCAAGAACCGAGTTACATGAATGGCATCAATATTAGAATAAGGTTCACGAGCATAAAACGCACCCTTAGTACCTGCAATGTGATAGCTAACGAGGAGAAAGGCCGTTAGGAAATGAAACTAAACTACTTTTAAGCAACTGCAAGTGCAAAAAAAGAAACAACAAAAACTTCTATGTTCAGAAGTGGATGCACCAAGTAATGCAAAAGTCTTGAAACATCACATACCGTGGTTTAATCTCTGAGACTAATTGGGCTACAGTGGAATCACTGCCAGTAGAACCTTCCGAGATTCCTGCAGGAATATCTGATTCGGTGGCTCTATTTGTAACACCACTGGGCCATTCATTAGTGAAAACCAATTAAGGAAGTCAAAAGAAACAAGCACAAAACTATAAATGAACAAAATGAAAAGTTTAATTCTGAGTCCCTCCGAAGCGGTTGTCTCGTGAGGGTGTTTTGAGTCTTGCTGCGGCAGGTTTACAGTCGATTTTTCTAGTGCTTTAGTTTAGTCTTGTTTTGAGAGTTTTGGTATCTTGGATTTCTTTTGGGTTGTCGTGGAGGATTGGTCTACGTTTTGCTTTTATTTGGGATTTAAATTATGGCGGAGGCGTTAAGTGATCAGATGTGGAAACAATTGGCCTTGACTGTGGAGGAGGAGGACTATGTTAGTGATGATGAACCACCGTCACCGGAAAAGGCAACGGCGGAAAGATTCTGGATGGTGGGACGCCTTCATACTGAGAGGCCTTTCAACAATCAAGCCATGATTAGGACTCTTAAACAAGTTTGGCGGCTTGTGAAGGCAGTATCTATTATTGCGTTGGAAAACAATTTGTTTTTGTTCAAGTTTGCTACAGAAGCTGATCGCAATAGGGTTATTGAGGGTTCTCCTTGGACCTTTGACAAACATCTTCTTCTTTTTGCAAGCTATGATGGCAATCTAAGGCCTGAGGACTATGTTTTTACCAAGACCCCTTTCTGGGTTCGTATCTATGAGTAGCCATTGGGTAAACGAAGCTTGGAGATGGCGGAGAAAATGGGAAAGAAGATGGGAACGTTGATTGCTGTGGATCCATCTTTAGATATGGAAGGATGGGCTTGTTTTTTGAGAAAAAGAGTTGAAATTGATGTTACTAAGCCACTGCGGAGAGCAATTCCCATTGGTAAATCAACTAATGGTGTACGGGGTAGACTAGCCTATGAACGGTTGCCTGAATTTTGTTTCGGGTGTGGGAGGATTGGGCACTGTGTAATTGACTGTGCCGAGATTAGTGATGATCCAGGCCAAATTCAACAATATGGAGATTGGCTACGAGCGTCGCCATTAAAGCCAAGGGTTTCAGGTGCAGGTTCTCGAATCCCTCCAGTTTCGGAATCAACCCTGATCAGGAGAGACTTTGCTGTTAATTTTGACAAGAGCACTGGTTGCCGAAAAGCTTTATTCCAAGAGGAACATGGGGAGAGCAGCGGAGAGAATTCGCCGGTGGGATCACAAATCGGAAACAATGATAAAAATGGAAAGTTTTTGATTGATGGAGCTTCCTTTGGCGGAAATCATGGAAAACGTGTTCTTGAAAAAGGAAAGCTGGATTTGGAAATTGAAGAAGAGGCTGGCAGATTAAATAGAGCGTTAATTGTCCATGATTTAGGGGTTTCAAAGATTGATTTGGTGGAAAAAATCGTGAACAAATCAACTGGAGATGTTGTTGGTGATTTGGCAAAGGAAGCGGGGAAAATTGTTCTAAATAGGAAGGATTTTCTTGCATCAGCATCTAAAGGCCAGGTGGGTCTTAAAACCAAATTGGGCCGAGACATTAATTGTGCAGCTGCATTGGGCAAGAAAATAAGTAAAAGAGGAGCGGCTGATAGTGAATTTAGTGGGCCTTTAACTTCAAAACAGAAGGTGAATGTGCTGGAAAGTGATTCAATTAGTTCTTTCGGTGTAAGCAACGCTGGTGAAGCTAAGTCTGCTGATGTTGGGGAAAATACGAATGTTGGTAAGCAAAGATCTGGTACGGGTAATGTTTCAAAGGAAAAAGTCAAAAACAGAAGGACATGGAAACGATTAGAAAGGGTGCAAGGTAGTGTAAACAATAATGCTGCATTACTTGGAAACAAATTGAGTGAAGCAATAAGTAGTAGTCTGATGGAGGTTGAGTATCAAGTGAATGCTACTACTTTGCAGGGTAAGTCGAATGGTGCTGATAACTCTTGTAAATTAGCGGAGGTTGCATTGCAGTCCCGCCTGGAGCCATGATAGGTGTTGCTTGGAACTGCCGTGGGCTTGGGAACCCATGGACAGTTAGAGCTCTTCGTGAGCTTATTCGAAGAGAGCGACCTAATGTTGTCTTTCTTATGGAAACGAAGTTACCCGATTTTAAGCTAGATAGTATTAGACGTAGATGTAAGATGCATGCATGTTTTGGTGTTAGTGCTACTGGAAGGAGTGGGGGTTTGGCTATGTTTTGGGATGACTCGGTGGATTTGCAGTTGATCAGTTTTTCTCAGCATCATATTGACATGTGGGTTGATGAAAATCAAAGATTGGCTAAATGGCGACTCACAGGTTTTTATGGCGAGGCCGATACTGGACGCAGGCATCTCTCGTGGGATTTATTGCGTCAATTTGTTTTACATGATGAGAAAAATTGGTTTTGTTTCGGGGATTTTAATGAATTACTTTGGCAAGCGGAGAAAGATGGAGGTCGTGAAAGGCCTGAGGCTCAAATGGTTGCATTTCGGGAGGCACTTGATGATTGTGGCTTGTATGATATTGGTTATAGGGGTAATATGTTCACATGGAAACGTGGAATGGGAAATAATGAATTTATTCATGAAAGATTGGATAGGGGGGTTGCTACTTTTGAGTGGACTTCTCGATTTCCAACAGCTTGCATTACTCATTTGTCTTCAAGTGTATCAGATCATTCTCCAATATTGCTTAATACCGAAGTTAAACAACGAAGGAGGAAGAAACAATCATGTAGCTGCAAACAGAACTTTTTTGAAGCCGGATGGTGCAAAGAAGCAGATTGTGAAAAGTTGGTTGTTGATTGTTGGGAATTTACGGATGGTTTAGGCCTGCTAGATCGGATTGTTCAACTACGAGATTCCTTGGGGAAAAAATATGATCAGCAATTTCGAAGTTTAAGGGAACGTATTGATGAGCTGTCAAAAAAGTTGAATAAAATTTCAGGAGTTGGCGGCCATGTTAGAAATAGTGAGGAGGTTGAACTTCGGGAGGAAATAAATCGCTTGTTAGAAGAAGAGGAGTCGTTTTGGTTGCAGTGGTCAAGGGTTAATTGGCTTAGTGAAGGGGATCGTAACACCTCATTTTTCCACGCTCAGGCTTCAAAGCGGAGGAAAAAGAATTCAATTGAACAATTAGAGGGTGAGAATGGTAGGTTGTCTGATGACCCAGTTGAAATCCAAGATATTGCTTCTGCTTATTTTAAAAAACTCTTTATTTCAAGCGGCTCAAAGCACTATGACGAAATCCTTGAAGCTGTGAATCCCTCGATTACAACAGAGATGAATGAACACCTTCTAGCTGACTTCACTGCCGAGGAGATCTTCACCGCACTAAAACAAATACACCCAACAAAAGCCCCTGGTCCTGATGGTATGCCTGTCTTTTTCTTTAAAAAATTTTGGCATATTGTAGGTAGTGATGTCACTTCTTTTTGTCTTGATTTTTTTCATGGTAACTTAGATTTGTCTATTGCTAATAAAACACACATTGTTCTTATCCCTAAAGTTGATAAACCCAAAAATATTACCCAATTTCGGCCTATTAGCCTTTGCAATGTTCTTTACAAGATAATTTCTAAAGTGCTAGTTAATAGGCTAAAGTCCATCCTTCCTGTCTGCATTAGTGAGTCACAAAGTGCTTTCGTGCCTGGACGTTTGATAACTGATAACATTCTTGTGGCTTTTGAGTTATTGCATTCTTTGAAGCACAGGAAGACAGGAAAACAAGGTTTTTTTGCCTTAAAACTTGATATGAGTAAGGCGTATGATCGTGTGGAATGGGACTTTTTGGAGGCAATTATGCTTCGCATGGGTTTTGATAGGCGATGGGTGGAGCTCATTATGAGGTGTGTCCGATCTGTTTCGTTTTCAGTAGTTGTTAATGGGGATGTTACGGACAATTTCAAGCCAGAGCATGGTTTACGTCAGGGAGATCCTCTGTCTCCGTATTTATTTTTGATGTGTACTGAAGGACTTTCTGCCCTTTTATCCAAAGGGCAAACTGATGGTTTATTGAGTGGAGTTTCTGTAAGTCGTACTGGACCTCGGGTGAGTCATCTTTTCTTTGCTGACGACAGCTTGTTGTTTGGAAAAGCTAACAGTGCTGAGAGCGGAAAGGTGAAGGACTATTTAAGGATTTACGAGGAGTGCTCGGGTCAGAAAATCAACTTCGAGAAATCAGTGGTGTTCTTTAGTCGTAATATTGCACAATCTGATAGGGACAGAGTTAAAGCTATTTTTGCAGTCGGAGAACAGAGTATTATTGAAAAGTACTTGGGCTTACCAACGTTTGTGGGTAGAAACAAGCGAAGTGCTTTTAATTGGATCAAGGAACGTATTGCAAAAAAGATAGCGAGCTGGAATATGAGGTGGTTATCCCAAGGTGGGAGGGAGGTTATGATCAAATCGGTACTGCAGGCCATACCCACTTATGCAATGAATGTGTTCGCTTTCCCACAAAATTTGTGTAACGATATTAATGGTATGATTAGTAGATTTTGGTGGAAGCAACGGATTGATCAGAGGCCTATTTACTGGATTCCTTGGAGAAAGCTTTGCAAAGCTAAAGATTTTGGTGGAATGGGTTTTAGAGATATGGAGTTTTTTAATCAGGCTTTACTAGCAAAACAGGGTTGGAAATTACTTCATCATCCAGATAGCCTTATGGCTAGGGTTCTCAAGGCTCGTTATTTTCCAAGAACAACTTTTTTAGAAGCAAAGGAGGGTTGGTTGCCGTCTTTCACCTGGAGGAGTATCCTAAAAGGTCGTGACTTGCTTCAATATGGTCTACGTTGGAGGATTGGTAATGGTAGATCAGTTCGGATTCTTCATGACAGATGGGTGGCAAAGCTTCCAGGCTTTATTCCATTCTCGGGTCAAGGAAAAATTCCAGATGATTCGCTAGTTGCTGATCTTATGCATGAAGTTGGTTTTAGCTGGGATGGTGACCTTATTCGGAGCATATTTATAGAAGAAGAGGCGGAGGCTATTGTTCAGATTCCATTGAGCTACAGGTTACAGAATGATATGTTAGTGTGGCATTTTGATAATAAGGGCATTTATTCGGTTAAGAGTGGTTATAGAGTATTATGTAATTTACAAGCTGAAGCAGAGGAGAATTTGGAGGAAGTTCTTGATGATAAACCTTATTTTCACCGTATCTGGAATGCAGATGTCCCTCCTAAAGTACGTGTTTTCGCGTGGAGACTTTTCTTTGAAGCCCTCCTTGTTATGGATTCTCTACATGCTAGACATATGGATGTTGATAGAACTTGCTTCAGGTGTAAACAAGAGAATGAATCGGTGGCTCATGCCATTTGCCTGTGTCCTTTCGCAGCTGAAGTTTGGTGTCATGTTTCGAATTTTTTTCTTAATGATGACTCATACCTTTATGCTGATATACAGGACCCTGATGCTGGTAACTTAGATCAAAATCCAGAATGGTTTCGACTCAGCCTTCTCACTGCTTGGGCGATTTGGAATGCGAGAAATGCTACTTTATTTGAGGAGAAGTTTTCTCGGTCTATTGACACTGCTTTATTTGCGTTCTCCTATTTCAAGGAATTCTCGAGATGTAGAAAAGCTGCAGCTATTCAGATGCCCTTCACTTCTCCTTGTTGGAAACCACCTGCGACCAACTTCATTAAAGTTAATTTTGATGGTGCTTTCGATTCAACTAGACAAATAGGTGCTTATGGTCTCATTGCTCGTAATTCTGATGGTCTGGTTCTTGGTGCCTGCTCTGGTAATATTTTGAATGTTTCTGATGCATTTGTTGCTGAAAGTTTTGCTGCTGTCCGTGCCTTAAGTTGGAGTCGAGAGATGGGGTTTAGTGCTGTTGTCATTGAGGGAGATGCTTTGAGCATCATTCGAAAGATCAACTCACTTTCACTTGATTTTTCTCCTGTTGGGGCATATGTGAAAGAAGCAAAGAGCTTAAAGGTGTTATTTAGCAGTTGTGTTGTACAGCATATAGGCAGAAACGGTAACTCAGTTGCCCATGATTTAGCTAAGCATGGTTTATTGTTAGATGACGAGATTGTATGGATGGAGGATGTACCACCTTGGTTGCATGACTCCTTAAAAACTGATTGTATTTTCTCTTCTTCTTCTTAATGAATCATCGGCTTTGATAAAAAAAAAAACAAAATGAAAAGTTTCCACGCCTAGCAAAGCAAAGGATATGTTAAGAAAAGGTCAACTATTCCTGGTTCCCATGCGAATGCACGCAATGCGTCAATGTCATCTTGACCATACATTCCAAACTGTTGACTACTAGACGCCTGCCTACCAGATAAGTAAGCAACACACAAACCTAAATATGAGCACAACAAATCAGGTATACTAGTGATCTCAGATTAAATAACTTTCCTTTCTGTTTGTCCTGAAAATAGTGATCTCAGATTAAATAACTACCAACATTTTATACTAGTGAAAAATAAATTGATGAAAGTTTGACCTTTTTGAACTGTCCTGTCATACATCTACATACACAAATGAATTTGTGTTTTGACTTAGCAACAACATATATAACTCAATTAACTCAGCAACACAATTACATATATTTTAAAAATTAACAAATTACCTTATGTTTCCTAAGTTGTGTTTTGAGGTGCATTGTGGACCCAATTGAGGTGTTGCGAGGCTCATCATCATCAGATTCTTTCTATACAAAAATCAGGAAAATAACTCACATTCCATCATTTCCCAAGTTAAGAACTTTCTCACTAAAGTGAATCTTCCATACACATAAATAATTCATAAATTCATCTACAAAAATTCATAAATTCCCACAAGCTACACGAAGACATAACTTGTCAAAAGAAGACATATGTTATCAGAAAATACAACAGAGTTCACAATACTCAATGATCACCAAACAACTTTTAGGAAGGGGAATGGATTAAAGAAAAACTCAATCAACCTTACAGCCTGGTAATTGAAAAGAAACATGTGGACATACAAATATGATTTCAAAAATCATTTCACGCCTATTCTAAACAATAGAACACAAAAAATAGAAAGAATGTTATGTATCTTGCAACAAGAAAAAACAATGTTTAATTATTGATTCTGAACATTGAACAGTCCATTAGTGTATTTATTCTAGTTCATGAGATCCTATTTTGAGTTCATAAAACACAGCCAAAAAAAACCCCTCCAATTACACAATCCGAGGATACCAAATTAGAGATATCTACAAGCTTGATGAATAAACCAGGAATAGTCTTAATATATGCAGTTCAGGAAAAGTTAGATTGAACACAACAGAGCATTTTACCTTCTGAACGAGATTGGTGCTTCCCTTGGAATGTGGAACAGGAACGGTGTCGGCCAAGCTCACACATGTTTCCTTCTCACTCAACTCTCCACAATTTCCACACCTTAGCTGCAACTCCAAACGAGCAGATAGATCCAGGATTCCAAATATTAGTGAAACAAAATGGAGAAAAGCGAAAAGAACAGGCTCATAAGAGAGATGCTAAGAGTAGATCATGATCATACTAGAGAAGAACTAATAAAAAGAAGCCCCTAAGCCCAAGACAAAGCCAACGTGGCAGTCTACCACCATTGTTCCATTTCTTCAGCGTCCTTGAAGGACTAGGAACAGAATTAACAGCGGCAACATGAACAAACTTTGGAAAATTAGTCAAACAAGGTTAATGTTACCGCCGGTGAGGAGAGAGGCGTCTAAGTTGAGCGGCGCTGACAGAGTTGAGAGAGCAGCCCGTTGCGGCTGGGCTGTGTAGGTCGGAGCTCGACGTCGTGCCTGGTCCACGCGAGTGAAGGCGCTGGTCTAACGCGAAAATGGGCGGCGATGGTGTAGTTTGCGCGAGAGGAAGGCTCTGTGTGAAAAGGAGTAAACGACACCGGTCTTGCGAGGAAGAGAGCAGCGCTGCTGAAGTCGAGAAGGGTCTGGCCGGAGTAGATGTCGGGTTTCCTAGATTGAAAAGTACTTGGGTGCTGCATCGATAAAACGATAAAGGACTCGAAATTGGAGTAAAGCGAGGGGTTTTGAGAAATTGGTAATGGCTTGAAATTTATTGCTTTCTCCCTTGCTTTACTGTTTCGCTTTCAGATATTCGCTCAGACGTGGAAGAAGAAGAAGGTGAAGGAGAAGAAGGATGAGGAAAATTTAGGGTCGATGAAAGTTTAGTTTAGGAATGGGATTTAGGGTAGCGAAACGAAAAAGGGGGAAATTTTAGTGAGAGAGAGTTTTTTTTTTCGTTAAGTTTTTATGGGGGAGAAAAAGTTTTTCTATTTAAGTTCCCACCCATTTTTCTAGTCCAACTTTTTTTTTCTAATTAAGTTCCCACCCATTTCTTTTCTAATTTAGGGGCGATTTTACTAAAAAAGCGCCATAAAAATCGTGGCGTTTATATTAGAAACGCCACAAAATAGTTTACTTTATTTTTATCTTTCCTCCAATTATTTTGGGGTAAAATTTTCCCACCCATTTTTTCTAATTTAAGGACGTTTTTATAAGAAATGCCACTAATTAGTGGTGTTTTTTTTTAAAAACGCCGTTAAATGGTTTATTTTATTTTTTTAACTTTTCCTTAAATTATTTTGGGGGGAAAATTTTCTCACACATTTTTCTAATTTAAGGGTGTTTTTATACGAAATGTCACCATTTCATGGCGTTTTTACACCAAACGCTAGTGGCGTTTAGTATACAAGAATGCCGCCAAATTGTTGTACTTTATTTTAAACTTTTCTTTGAATTATTTTGGGAGAATTTTTCCACCCATGTTCCTAATTTAGGGGCGGTTTTTTAGAAAAACGCCACTATTTAGTGGCGTTTCTTTTAAAAATGCCGCTAATTAGTGGCATGTTATATAGAAACACCGTTATCTTCAATTATAGAGAATCAAATAGTGGCGTTTGCCAAAACACCGCTAAATAAACGTCCCTATATTAGTGTTTTTAGTAGTGAGCAGAAGCACACTCTCCTCGGGTTAAAGCCTTTCAGGGCAGAATCATCTCCTTTAACTTTGTAACTCGCAAACTATCTTTCTTTTGCAATTTCTTGTAATTCAAGAGACAATGAACCCTTTTGTAATGCTTGTGCTTGTGCTTGTCATGAATATAAATCAAGAATTCATGTGGGTTATAACAGTTTACAAGAGTAATTGGTTTTAGAAAACTGAGGTCACTAACCTCTGAAGTGTTCATGTTTAGGGGTTACTAACGCCCTTTATTTTTTTTATTTTGAGGCCACTAGCACTCTACAAGGACTCCTATTTTTTTTTCAAAGAGAGACAATATTTCTGCAATTCCATGCCTCTTATCCGCTTTCCAAGGGTTATTAACTCCTTTTGTTTAAGAAAAGAGTGACAACAATGGAAAAGTTGTTTTTTTTTAAGATAAATACCTCTTCTCCTCTTACATGAAAACACTTCCTTTTGAAAACAATTTTAATTACCCTTTATATAGTTAGTCCCCCACACTTATTCTTGACTTATCCATAACATGCTTTCTTAATCGTAATTTCAATCAAGATTCAACACAAGTTCTAGAAATAGATAATCATAAAAGCAATGAATGAATAAGATCATATCACAAACTTCAATTATACCTAATTCTAAGAAATCAAAACATCATGCTATAAATCAATCAATGAATAAAGTAGTATTAAAAATTCTAAGTATTCATCAATCATAATTAAATAAATAACTCAATATATGCATGAAAAATCAAAAAGTTAGAAAAATCATCAAAATTTTATACTTCAAAAATCAATATTTTTGAAAAATTTTCAAAAGTTGGGAAAAACATATCAATCCAAAACAATCCAAATCCTATCCTAGGTTCTTATGCAAACATAAACTATCATATGACTCAATTATTAAATTAACAATCCTATCAAGTTTTCACCCCCCCCCCCTCCAACTTAAAATTCACAATGTCCTCAATGTAAAAGCAGTCAAAGCATGCATTCCAAAAGAAAATAAGGAGTTAAGGTTCATGAAAACATACCTGGGCAACTTTGATGAAGAAAATTACTTAAACATAAAGACAATAAAAATTAAAGTGACAAGAAAATAAAACTAGATAGTTTATTAATGAAACTCGGAAAATAAAGACATAAAATAAAGAGAAATTTAAGATAAAGCATAACTAAACCTAAGATGCATAAAAATAAAACCCTAAATCTAGAAAAATAAACTTAAGCTAAAAACCCTAATTCTAAACCTAAATTGGTTTAGGAATAGCCTTCTCCAACAAATTGAAAAGGTCATCCAAATTCCCAATTATACTATCAAAATTCTCTCTTAAGCTAGTAACTTGATTACTAATATCTTTGAATTGGGCAAGGAAAGGATGAAGTCCTTCCTTATTTTCCTTCTCTTGATTAACCTCCTCTTCCCCTTCCTTATTTTCATCACTAGAGGCACCACTAGATTCAGAAGCAGAAGCAATAATTATAAAATTGTCTTCACCATGACCCTCACCTTGCAACGGATCCTTTGGTCCAATTGGTGTTGATGACTTATCCTTCAACTCTTCCAAAGTAAAAACAGTAGCAATTGGGGCGGTTTTTGGTTGATTAGATGAAGAAGCGTAATAAGGATCATGAAACCTTTGAGGAAAAGGGACACATCGCATATGTCTATAGGGTGACCTATAGGGCTTGGTGCGATACCATCAATCCTTGGCATGGGGAAAAGGCTTGCTCCATGGTGCAACTTGAGGTCTAATCCTTTCATTAAAATTCCTTAGTGATCCTTGAGGATGGGAAAACCGATTCCCATAGGGATGGAACCGTTTTCCAAACTATTTCTTAGCTCTTTCCTTTGATCTCAAAACAGCTTCATGTGACTAGTTAATTTTATCCCAAAGAAATTGATGAATCATCCTAGCTTTGAAATCAGGCTTAGTAGCAATTTCTTCCTTATGTAGCAACAATATCATGCTCAAAAGTTCATGACAATCTTAACGAAGAAAGCTTCCTTTGAATTTTATACCAAATTGAGAATACCCAACTTGATAAAATTGCCTCCTAAAATTCTTGAATTGAACTTCAAAATCCATGGTTGTTGTTAGCATCATCGACATCTTCAAAAGGACTAGGGAAAAATCGAAATCTTCTTGCTTCAACTTCTTGTCGACTT